TGAGCTTTGCAATTTCAGAGAAATCTGGGGTAGTGAGGTTGATATTGTTTACCCGAGACAAGGCATCAGCGACACACAATTATCAGTACCAGAGACATATCTGATATCTGTACTAAACTGGGCGATGAAATCCAGATGTCGAAGCTGACGAGGAGAACATGAGTCAGAGTTTTTCTTCTAAAGCGAAGGTTAATGGTCGATGATCGGTGAAAATGATGAAGTCGTGTCCTTCCAAGTTGTGCCGGAAGTATTTAACAGCACAGTGTACACAGCAAGTAGCTCTCCTGTCATATGTGCTGTATTTCCTTTCTGCAGTAGTAAGTTTTCTGGAGAAGAATGCCATTGGGGAAAGTCCTTTAGTGGTATGGGCTTGAAGCACTGCTCCTATGGCCGTGTCAGATGCATCTACCATTATAGAGAGCTGATCACTAGGTGAGTGATAAGAAAGTGTGGCTGCATTTGCCAGATCGTGTTTGCATTGCACGAATGCTGCAGATGCAGATTCAGTCCAAGGGACAGCTCGTTGATCGTTTTTTTTTTTTTTTTTGCTATTCTTCAGAAACTCATGTAGGCAGGCTTGTGTTTTTGCGGCATTTGGCAGAAAGCGTCGGTAGAAATTTAACATTGCTAGAAAACGCTTCAGTTCAGAGATGGTTTTGGGCTGGGGAGGTAGGTCGTTAATTGCTTTGACTCTTTCCGGTAAAAGGTTTGACTCCATTCTGGGTGATAAGACATCCAAGAAAGGAAACTGAGGGTTGACCAAGTACACATTTGGATGGATTTAGTTTTAATCCATGATCTTTAAGGCGAGTGAAAATCTGACGCAGATGTTGAAAATGTTCTTCCGCATCTGTAGATGCAACCAGGATATCATCAAAATATGGGATGCAGAAATCGAGGCCAGACAGTACTTGGTGTATGAAACGCTGAAATGTTTGGCCAGCATTGCGAAGGCCAAATGGCATATATAAGTACTCAAAGAGACCAAATGGTGTAGTCACTGCGGTCTTGGGCACATCTTCAGCATGCACTGGGATCTGATGATATGCTCTGGCAAGATCGAGGGTAGAAAATATGTTTGTTCCATGAAAAGATGGGTACAGTCTTGGATATGTGGGACTGGATATCTGTCAGGGACTGTGACGGCATTAAGTCGACGATAATTCCCACAAGGCCGCCAGTCACCATGTGAAGTCATCACTTTTAACCATGTGAAGTGGACTGGCCCATGGACCTTTAGATGGGCGAATGGTTCCTGTGCTAGCATGAATTCAAATTCTTTGCGAGCAGCTTTTAGCATCTCTGGAGAGAGACGACGAGGCTTGGAAAATACAGGTGAGCCATGTGTTTCAATGTGATGATACTCTTCTGGCTGATGAGTATGCTGCCCTGATTTGGATGGGTTTAAAATGTCAGGGAATTCTGCTAATAACCGATGAAACCGTGTGCTGCCCGCCGATAAAAACACTTATGTTGGTAGGTACGTTCGATATGTGAGAAGCTTGGCCCTGTGATGTGATGTCAGCTGAGTTGTAGCATCAATTAAGCAATTATTCTTGACATCCACTAGAAGGTGGAAATGTGTCAAGAAGTCGACACCAATAATTGCTTGAGTTACATCCGCAATAATAAAAGGCCAGTTGAAAGTCCGGCGCAAGTTTAAATCAAGTGTCAATAGTTTGGTGCCGTAGGTTGCAATTTGGGTACCATTGGCTGCATACAGTACAAGTTTATTAAGTTGGTGAGCATTTGTTTTAGTTCTCGGGAGCACTGATATGTCAGCTCCAGTATCTACTAGAAAACATAACTGAGTTGAACGATCAGCCAGTACTATTCTGTCGATGTGGCGGACATTCTGTTGGCCAGCAGAAGACCGCCCATTTAGTTTCCCGCTTGTTCAAAAGTGCATGGAGGGGCACACTTGCGAGCTTGAGAGCCAAAATCATATGATAAAAAAACATATGCCACTTGTGGGTTCTTTGTACTGCGTTCGGTATTGTGACGAGATGGACTCCTGCTTCGGGCACGAAATTTATACGTGGGCCCTGATTTGATCGATTGTATCTCCGTGAAGCATGAAGACTTGTAGAGAGTTCAGATACTTTTTTGGTCATTCAGCCACTTGTTGTTCGAGGGATGAACTGGAAGGTGCAGCATTAGCAGCACTGACATAAGCTGGAGTAACAAGTTCATTAATTTTGTCAGCCATTGCTGCTAAACAGGTTAGATCTTCATTGGAAGCAGCAGAATTTTTTGTATGTTATTAGGGAGACGCGAAAAGCCATAGTGACTTCAACAGTCGTCACTAAAATGGCTTCCTGCCAGATCACGCATTCGTGACAGCAAAGTATGAAGGTCGCTGATCTCCAAGTTCAAGTCCTTGTAGTAAAGTACGTATTTTGAAGATTACTTTCTGAATAGATTTCAATGAGCCGCTGTTTCAGTTTGGAGTATTTATCACACAGGTGGTTTGAGAATTAAGTCATGCACTGAATTCAGAATATCAGACTCAATTGCTGCTGCAACACATGGTTGATTTTGTAGAATCCTCACTAATGCGAGCGATAGAAATTGTGCTTCGATCTGAGCGAACCACAATGAAGGATTATTTTTCCAGAAGGCGGTGGCTTCACCGCAAAGCGTGTGATTTGTGGCTCTGGTGGAATATCGTCGGGCATACTGATAGATAATTTTCACTTAATTAATAAACACTTAACAGCACAAATATTGTAGCAGAGATATGACTATTGATATTTTACCATGATAACAATAAATATTTTAACCATGCAGAAAAAATTTACGTAACGATACACCACCAAATAAGACAGGGTCAGCAATTACACACACAATAATATTTTACCGAAATGCATTTGAAAAGAAACCCTATTTGAGAGAAAAAAAAATGATGCGTTCATTTTGTATGCGCACACACAAAATCACCACTTCACACTGCTAAGGCACTTTCAAAGGAAAAAGGAAATCACTCCTGTAGCACATGGGAAAAAATTCACTACTTTCGAACACTGAGGGAAGAATTTTGCCGTAGCACGTTTGCAGAAAAGTTACTGATGTAGCACATTTAGCGAAAATCACTATTGTATTACATTTGTCACAAAAGTTGAATGATCGAAGAATTATTGCACGACTGGCGAAGTCAGCGGAAGGAACAGATCACATTGATGATTTGCTGAAGCTCCTTGCGATGATATGCCGACTTGAAAAAAAACACAAGCAATATATATCAATACTCTAGAAATAATTGAAGGGGTACGTTGTAGCATACGTTTAATGTCCATATTCGTTGTTATTTTTAGTCAGTTCTTCAGAATGCCTTGGATGCACGTGGCTTAGGGTCGTTGAAAATCCATTCTCAGTAGCGTGCTCAGTCAAAAGGTCACCACTTTTGGTGGTCGTGTGTGCTTAATGCATGATATAATTAAAGAAAATAAGAGTAGACAATCTCCTATAACAAAAGAATATATTAAGTACTAAATTACAATTTAAATTACATTGGAGAGATCAACACAGAGCTCGGGAACACAGTTCGTGCTAGCGTCGCGTACACTTGTCCGACGAGAAGTCTGAGTGAGTAAAGATGTCGCTTTGCTGCTCCGATTAAGAACTGGATTTTACATGTGGCGCCATCTCATGAATAGAAGTTGAAGTATCTGTCGGAACGCCACAATCATTTCCAGGTTTTTCAAACATCATATTAAAAGCCGTATTGGATCTTCTAGTCTTACGTTTTCATGTTTATTAGAGAGAGAGGTAAACTTTTTAAGGCTGCTTTAAATAATATCATACGCAATTTGTTTGGTATTTTATAAATATTTTGAATTTTGCGGTATATAGGGTATTCAAAACTTGACATAATGTGGTAGTTTCTTTATTTAAGCATTAAAGCAAACTGAAATAGTTTTGAAATGAACACGTGAAAACTCATTGCTGTTGAAAGAAATTAATGATTTTAAACTCAAGATGTTGTCATTTTTATTTACTATATATTGAGTAATAGATTAAACTAGTTCAATATAGTATTATCAACCCAGGCAGCAACACATGCTTTCTGTCGTACTGGCATTAAGTCACCGTTTTCTCAGACATTCCCACAAACGGGCTGGCTGCATGGGAGTTTTTGTGGTTTTCCTCATGTGTAATGTGTGTACGAGCCAGTTTCCCTTAGAAAGTCCTCCACGAAGGCATCCCTCCCTTTAGGCAGATAGCCCCTAGTGCGCTTTGCCATAATTAAATACACCACCACCACACCTCTCAGACATTCCAATTGAAATTCAGTTACCGATTTCGAAAGAGGTTCAGTGATAAATATATGTTTCATTTTAATCCCACAGATGCTGAATTTGGTTTAGATTTAATAAACGTGCAGAACAGGGCAGATGATGCAAAACCTGTTGCTTAGCACATTTTCTGAAGTAAATTTTCCACTTGATGCAAAAATAGCAACAATGCGGTTTATTAAATTTATGTAGTGGGTTTTAAGTCTTTAGAACTGTCTCTTAACTTATCTCTCTCAAATCATGTTATGATGCCTTTTAATCATGTTCTCGAATCATGTTATGATTTTTTTAAAGAAAAAATTCATCATTATGTAGACTTTTTAACTCTGTTTTTTACAGGGTGGTGCTGGGTTAGGTTTCAGCATAGCTGGTGGCACTGATAACCCTCATGTTGGTGATGATCCTAGCATATTTATAACAAAATTAATTCAAGGTGGTGCTGCTGCTGCAGATGGCCGATTACAGTGAGTTGAGATTTTCATTTTTTTTGCATGTATTTGTATTAATTCATGATTAAACCTGTAGTGTTTCAGTTTTTCCGATTTATTAAATGTGCCCAATATTGATTACAAATGTATTCCATCTGTTCCTCTTAAAATAATCAGTATTTTGAGGATTAAATTTTAAACATGCAAACATGTACATGTTTCTGTGTGCTTATGAGCCGACAAAATAACCATGTGTATAAGTTCTTATAGCACTAATTAGTGAACTGCTTTCATAGATTTCTCATACAATAAAAGTTTAATAATAACTGATCAGTGTTTTCTAGTTTTCAGTGAAATTATTTGTTATAATCAAGTACTCAAAGTGTCTTTTAGAATTTATTTAAATGGCAAAATTTTCCCAAAAGTGAAGTTTGCATTTTAAGGTTCACTTCAATTAACTAGTGTCTTTATGAAATAAAACTGAATATGTACTTTTTCTTTTTTTAACAAGTTTTCTATAAGTGGCAGTCAAATGAATATGAAACAAATGGGAAAAAAAGTAATTAAACTGTGTATTATTTCAAAAGCAATCACCATCACTCTTAATACATTTATTCCACTGTGAGACGAAATGGTCGATGTCGTCATGCCAAAATGTTTTCTGTTGCTTATGGAGCCATGATTGTACCCAGATGTGCACCTCTTCATCTGAAGCAAATCAAGAGCCACGAATGTCTCTAAAAATATGGAAATCAGAACGGGAGAGATCTGAACTGTATGGAGGATGTGTAAGTGCTCTCTAGCGAAACTTATGCAGCATAGCCTTAACAACCATGGCAACATGTGGGCAGACATTGTCTTGCAACAGAATAATGCCATCCATCAACATTCCTGGGTATTTAGATTTGGTGGCATGCTTCAGTTTTTGCAAAGATTCCATGTATGACTGTACATTAATTGTGGCACCATGTTCCAGAAAATCAATGAGCAGTGGGTCCTTGAAGTCAAAGAAAAAGGTCAGCATGACTTTCCGAGAGCTAGCATGCATGGCTTTGGATTTTTTTGGTGGGGCTGAATACATGTGCTTCTTGTTGGCTCTGATATGTGCTTTCTGGCTCAAAATGATGGCACCATGTTTCATCTTTCATGATAATACAGGGCAGGAAACAATGTTCTTCAGGATGTAAACATTCCAGGTGCTGTAGTTATGTTAACATTCTCTTCAACTTCTTCTCATCTGTCAGGCGGTAGGGATGCCAATGCGCGTAAATTTTCTGGATTTTCAGATGCTCTGTGAAGATGGCTTGAGCAGTACCTCGACTAATGCCTAACATGAACTGAATGTCTTCCACTGTCCACCATTGATCTTCTCTGATGGCAACATCCACCACAGTGGTAATGACATGAGCTTGTTCTGGACAACTATTGCCTTTCAATGACATCAGACCTTCTTGATATTGTTTATTCCATTCAAACACACTTGTATGGAACATACTGTATTTGCCATACAATGCAGAAATTTGGGCATGACACTCCTTTTGCAATCAAAAACCACCCTATTAGATGTTGTTCCTCTTTCCCGACTTGCTGACCTCACTTCGAGTACATCTAACAGACAAATGATACAGTGGTGAGCATTTGCACTATTCTTTCCTGATATCCAATAGAGAATGCTTCTGTACACAGACCTATCTACAGTACCAAATTCCATACCATGCTCTTTATATAGTCTGTCTCATTTACATTTGACTGCCCTTTATAATTACTGTTTGAAGTGCTTTACATCAGCAACTTATTGTTAATTCGTATATTTATTCTTCCTATTTTAAAATTTATATTTCAGGGTGAATGATATTATTTTAAAAGTAAATGATGTTGACCTTATTGACATACCTCATTCCATAGCTGTTGATGCATTAAAACGTGCAGGCAATATGGTTCATCTGGTAAGCATGATTATTTTGCTTTTGCAGTTGCATGAAGTATTTTAATACTTGTAACTTCTTTTATAATTTTCGCATAGTTAATATTTATACCAATCATCTGAATTATCTTACTGTGAAATCCAAATAAATTTTTAAATTGAGTGCTGATTGAATTTACTGTAGAAATTATAATTTATTCAGCTTATTGTAGAACACTGCCCATTAGAATTATATAATTTGCCCATCATTCATACTGATTCAAAAGTATTAGTGAACATCTTTAAGAATTCCATTTTCTGCTTTAATGCTTTAGGCTGTCTATATACAGTAAAAAGTCCATAATCTGGGCTCGTTGGGACTTCGGCGATTCCGGATTATAGATCATCAATTTAAATCTGCTAAGACAGCATGCAGAAATTATACAATTAAAAATATGAAACTATAATTTATGAAATAAAGAGCAATTATGATCTAAAGGGTATTAAAATTTACGCAAAAAAGCTTAATATTTATTTGTTTACTTTATTAAACATTTCTTTAAATCTAAGTTGTTTAAGTTGCTTCGTTTTTTGTGCTAATACTTTCTCTTTAATTCTATAAACAGACATAATTTCTTGTTCAGTTACTAAGTTCCACTGTTCAAGTCCTGTAATTGCTGTGTCGAGAATGCCAACTAACTTGTCAATCGAAATTTTTTCGTTTTCACTAAACTCTCTGTCACTTTCTTCACTATCGGAAGTGGTATTTTCTGAATGTAGAACCATACTACAGATTTCACCGTCCGTTACTTGATTAATGATTATGGCATTTTCGTCGCAGTGGAAAACTTCTATTATATCATCTTCATTTATTACCGCTTCTCCAAATTTCTTTACAAAATCCAATAAATGGAAAATTTCACCTTTAGTTTGCAATGTCTGAAAACCTTCAAATTCGCGGCTATCATCTTCATCATCCTCACCATGAAATACGGTAGCTGGCCATAAATTATGCCAAGCATGTTTTAACGTATCTGGAGACATCTTCCAAATGCACATGCATAAAGCATACAAAAAAAAAAGATTGTGGCTTTGAAGTCTGTATTATAGATCATTCCGGATAATGGATGTCCGCATTACAGACTTTGTACTGTATATCAGTTTGTCTAGGAATGTAGAAACAAATTTATGTTTGTAGGGATGTGCTAATATATGTTGGTGCATATTTTATTGTGTACCAAATTTGTGTGATTTATTGTGTATTGTTACATGTCATAGGAGTAAAAATTCAAAACATCTTTATGTAAATAGACATGGTAAATATATATTTTCTTCATGTGCAGCAATTTTGTATCATGCATATTATCAGTCTTAAAAACTGTCAAAGTTATTTGCATTTCCAAAATTTTACAACTTGATGTTATTTCCCTAACACCAATATATTTATGTCATTTTTCTTGTCAGTATATATTTTAGTTGTAAAAATCTTTCATTCTCCTTTCAAAATTTTATAAATAATTTTTAATTTTTCTTTAACCCTAGCTTGTAAAAAGGCATAGAATATCTCCTCAAATAGTAGAAATAGAATTATTAAAAGGCAACAAAGGCTTAGGTTTTAGTATTGCTGGTGGTATTGGTAATCAACATGTTCCTGGAGACAATGGAATTTATGTTACAAAAATCATGGATGGGGGAGCTGCACACATAGATGGAAGGTTAGAAGTAGGGGACAAATTAATAGCTGTAAGTGTACTTTTTATATCACTAAAGTAATATGATTATCTTCATTCCCTTCCCAAATCAGTTATATGACTCCTAAGCACTGTGATATCTATTTTAAAAGCTAGATATATTTTAATGTCGAAATGATGTGTATTGTGAAATGATAAAAAATTCAGTGACCTGAAAATAAAAACCCTCCAAGCGTTACTATTGGCCAAAGCGTTATTATTGGCCTCAAGTTCCAAAATATCATGAATAAGTGCTATTTATTTTCTGGATTATAAATCAAAAATGTTTCTCTCACTTTGTACCCTGATTCCTTTTCTTCAAATATACATCCAACCTGAAATTGGATTGATCAAGATCTGGCAGAAATTTCCATGCATAGCAAATACAAAGCCATCCTTCCCTTCAATATGGAACTTTGCATTCATAACCCTTGGAGGGTTAAGAAAATAAATCATAGAGAAAAAGGGATTTTTTCCCTGCTAATTTGAATTATGTCATATTTATCTTGTGATTATTATTCCTGTTTTACTTCATAAATATTTACTTTTGTTGTATGTAATTGTAATTATCTATTTCTGATGCTTTACTTTATGCAAGATATAAAACTCAAGTGAATTTTGTTCTCTGTCTTGACAAAGGTATTTTCGTGACTAATTACATTACTGCTTTTATAGTGTGACTTTCATTAAATTGTAATTTTTTTATTTGTTTATGATTATTTGTAATCAAAGGAATATGCTCTTCAACAGAAAGTTCTGTTATATGTTTTTATAGGTTGGAGATACAAACTTAGAAAATGTTACCCATGAAGAAGCTGTTGCAACTCTAAAAGCAACAACTGAACGTGTAGTTTTAACTGTTATTAAACAAGCTGCTGGCAGTCTGTTTAGGAATCCATCTAGAAATCCATCTCCATTACCATTAGCTAACATAATTCCAACACAAGAAGTTATAAGGGCAAAAAGCATCACACCTCCTTGTAAGATATTTATTAAGCTTTATCTGTTTAAAATTTGATTTAATAATTTCCATAATATCTAGTATATCAGTTTTGAAGTTAAAATGAATGTGCTGCTATAGTGCTGAGTGTTATCATATATAATTATTCAATTGTCATAATATTTGTTTCATCATTTTGTTTATTAATCAGAATAATATGTGATAAAAAATAAATTACCTTGTTAATGTCACAAAAATTCATTTATTCTTATTATCAACCTTTTTTCAGATTTTGAGAATAACTGCATGTACTAGTTTATGTAATTATTTCAGATCGCTTTGCTTTGCTCTTAGCATCTGCAGCCATAATTGTAGTGTCTCTACTTCCTCCCTCACCTGCATGATATATTCTAAGCATTGTCCTTTTTCATAGTGTAGTCAGTGCAAATTAAGTTCAGTTTTACTTATAATTTTTTGTGATTATATATTGCTGTCATCTTAACTTATTTCTTCACCTATTTCATTAACATTTTGTATTCAGATTTATTTATTAAAGTAGCTGATGTGCTTACACACTGTATCTATGGAAATCATTAAGTAAACAGCCTTTACTTTCACATTTGTTGGAGGTAGACATATACTTTGAATTACAAAACTGCTCTAAATAAAGAATATTCATGTTAAAGCATATTTAAAAAGTTTCCAATCATGTTCAGAAGTTGTATACAAATAAACCACAAAATCATTAAAAAAAGTTTCTGATATTTGTTGATTAAGTTAGGATTTCTCAACCAGGGAAGAATTTCATATTTTCAGGGGGAAATGTAAGTAGCATTATTTAGCTGTTGAGTGATTAGTTTAATTAACAAATATAGAAAAACTATTTTCATTTAGATTTTGGTATTTATTAACAGTTTCTATATTTTTATTTAATTTCTAAAAATCTTATTCACATAGTTTTATAGAATTCATATTTTCTATATTAATAAATTGTGAATATTATTAACAAATTTTTAACATCTAAAACTCATAAACTACTTGCATGAAAATGGTTCAGGCTAGTGAATGACAAAGAAATACCACTAAATAACATTAACTAGAAAACAATCAACCTCAAATTATTCTGGTATAACATTGAAGAGAAAAAAATCAACCTCAAATTATTCTGGTATATTTCCTGTCTAATCCCTCAAGAAAGGCTGAAAATTAGTCAGAAATACCAAGAAATCAAATGCCTGTCAATTTTTGTCTTACAGAAACCAAACATTTTGTGTTTTTATATTTTATAGTGGATATAATGTTTGTTATTAAATATAACTGTAGGGTTCGGAAAACCATACAAAAAATTAGATTTCTCAATTTTTACAAAATTCACTTTTTAAATTTAAAAATGCCAAACGTAAATGCCAAACTTTTTTTTTTTCTTTTTAATTTGATGTATCAAGTGATTGCTGAAATAAAGGCTGCATTACATTTTATTTGGACATGTTGTAGAATTTCATGAATGAATGTTGTAAGTTCTGGATTCAGAAGATGCATGTACTTAATAAATAATTGGTGTGTATGTCATATGATAAGACAACTCATAAAATTTTCACACAAGCATTTAGGTCAATGTTACTTCCATTTGTAGTATGCTAAATATTTCACCCGAAGTTTGTCTCTTCGAAGACAATAGACTTCGTGCTGCTAGTATATCAAGCATCTCTGCAACTACTGCGGTAATTTATTCTGTAAGCCCAGTGATAATGGCGGGGAAGGATAGAACAAATACTTGATCTTCAATAAACCTTTAAAAGGAAAAAAAATTGATGGGCATCAAATGTGGATATCAAGATGGCCTTACTATTAGTTCCCCGTGACCAATCCATTGAAAATGAAAACTGTTGTCAGTATGATCTAAGGTAGTAAGGAGGTGGCATTTTCGTTGATATCACCCAAAACTGTGAAACCTTTCTGTGGGGGTTGAATCTTTATTAACAAGGGAATTGCTTGTTCCTCTCTCCATTTGGATCAAACATGCCTAGAATGTAGACATGCCTAGAATTCAGACTATGTATCATCTCGATCTCGAAAGTACAACAGTAAACAGTGCATGGTCTCAGTATGTTTGACATGATAATAACAACGTTTTAAACTGGCCTCTTTAGAAGCTGAAGTGAATGTGATAGAATCATTGTTTTTCTTATATAAAGTCAAGCCTCATGAAGCAGAAGAATGAAGGATTCAAATTCTTGTGGTAGTTTGCAGGGATAAAAATCAGCTTTCTTGCAGCCACTTCAGAGTTCTTTGAGTGACAGTGACTGAAAATGGTCTTTGTATGAAGTTGTTGCTGTTGGTTACTGTTAATTTCAATGACAGCAAACTGATTCACTGCTTAAAAAGCAGTTCTAGTTCTTGATGCGACATTTTGAGGGATATTTAGGTCTTGGGCAATTCCTTTACGTCTTAACTACTTGCCTTGATTTTCCCAATTAGTCACCGTATTTGCTTTTCATGTAAGTTATATTCATTACCAGTGATCCTTACCATCAGTGACTGCATTAGTTTTAAAAACACCATGCATAAAATTCTGACATGAGTCTATTGTACAGCATCTTCTTTGCTTAATTTGCAAGTTTCTTGCAATAACTTACATGCAAAAACCCAAATTTGTGACATTGGTTTAAAACTTCAGTCATAAATACTTTTTTCCCTAAAAAGTAACTAATAATTCAGTCAATAAACTTCAGTCAGTAAACATTTTTTCCCTAAAAATAACTAATTAAAACTAAAAAAATTAAATTATTAGTTTATGGTGTATTGCGAAAATGTTTTGATGAAAATCAGGGTTAATTATCAGTAAAGTATTCTGGTATTTGTTCCTGTTAGATTATATGTATAAATAATTATGCAGTGGGTCTAGTCCATATTTCTGACTGTGAAAGTAAGTAAATTTTTATGTTTATTATTTACTTGCTTAAGTGTTTAATTAATTTACCTATGTCAAACGCTGTTTTAAGTTTTTCACAGCTGATGCAATTTAGAATTTTTCACAAACTTAATTCATATCTTTCCAGTAAATGTGCCAGCGGAGTATCCTTTAGAATCACCACCTGATGATCAGCCTCTTCCAAGAGCAGCTACTATAGAAGATTTCACAAAGTAATTTTCTTCTTTGTTTTGATAACTTTAAAAATCATGGATCCTAAAATACAAATCTTATGTGAAATTAGGGATTCTCTCTTTTTTTAAAATTTATTTATTTATTATTTTTAATGTATTTATTCGAAAAGAATTTATACTCAAGATATTTTCTGTAATAGACTGAAAAATATGAATATTTGTTTTAATATTTTAATGGAGGGGGGAAACGATAAAATAATGAGTATGTGTATAGCATACTTATGCAGGAGATGGTTTCTGTTCGTTTGATAGGGTTACTGTTTGTGTAACATACGTTAAACAAACTGAACTGTTTCTAGTGCTACTACTCCATTTTAGTTGAAAAAGAAAATGTTTTTTTTATCGGCTAATGAACTGATATTGTTTAACGTTGTCTTTATTTTTTATGGAAACTTTGGTTTTAAGGGAAGCAAATTTCATGAAATTGTAGATAAATGTTTTGTTGTTAAAATGCTGATAATCTTTACTTCAATCTTTTACATCCTTAGAGTACAAATAATGACTCAAATTTGTTTTTAAGATTTCATCTTTAAATTTTTGCAAATATCTGATATAAGACTTTAAAAATTTTAATGGCAGTTAAATGATTATATAGTAGCTGATCATGTGTCCAAATATTATTTATATAATATTTATGTTACTTCATTTCATGTGATTGCTCCAAAGATGCAGAATAAAGGAGAAGTAATTGAAATTCTTTAAGGTTTCTGTGCTAATTTGGAAAATAAATAATGACTAACCTTCAATAAATATGAGCCAGGGGTAACTCTTTAGTACCTTGCACACATTTTGGTGAGATATTTTTTTTCAAGTTACAGAAGAAAATAGCTCAGACGATCACAGCAAATATAAATGTGCAATTTACTATAATAATATTTTCTACTGATTTAAAAATAAATCAATAATAAAAATGGGGTAAATATTTTATTGTATCTTTTGAATGTAATAGAAAAATTAAATTCTATTGGTTTCGTTTTTGTTCTGAAATATTATTTCGTCTGAAAAATATTTAAGTTCTAAGAATATTATATAACCCAACCCTGGTGATTCCATTAATATAAACTCTGATAAAATTCAGAGAATTAAGTTCTTTTATTTTGACTTTTATCATTTATAAAGGAATTTTTGCATATATGCAAAGGTACACAAAAAAATATGAAATCTATTTTATAATGTAACTATGATGAAATATTCAGAATTTAATCATAATAGATTATTTTGAATATTTATGGTGTATAATATGGTAATAAAAACTTCCCCAATATGTGAACCCCTAGTAGCCTGTCCGCTCAACCAATCGAAATGAAATATCACATATTGTTATTTGAAGGTATGTACTCTAGATTGTAATGATTTGTGCTGTGGATTGTAATGATTAAAACAATAAAGCTGTCATGGTTACAGTTATAGCAAAAAAATTTTGAAATTTTCGAAAGGAAGATCCTTATTTTTTCCCTCCACAAATTGATCACTGTATCAAAAAACCATAAATGGTATTGGAATTATACATGTGTGATGAAAATTGTAGGCGTAAACCATTTTCAAAGAAGACCATTGTAAATGACCAATGACAACATAAGAGAGGAGAGATTGATTTTAGAATGATCAGAAATAATTTCAGATTGATTTTTCAATTCCTATGATATTGCAAAAATGCAACAGCATCAGAACACTTGAATACAATAGTAAAATTAAATACATGTGACTAATTTAGTTGATAAAATACACCAGTTAGGTCTAGAACAGAGAACACTCAGGAACTCTGAGAGTCTCTAAAAACTTGTTAATTACAAATTTCTGGCCTTTGGACAGTTAAGGTTATCTAACTTGTGATGTAGCCGTTCCTCAATAGACACTAATGCCGGCTAGCTTTAAACAGATTTATTAACAGAGCACACAGGAACGGTTACAAACAAAAGAAATATACATAAAAATGAAACATATACCAAATGGAACATCAAACATTGAGAATAACATAACATAGTAAGCTATCATCATGGCGGCTGGAGGTCGACTGACGTTTTTTCATATCGCCACGAGATGGCGTTTAAATAAAATAGTTCGGTTACAGTTCATGAGTTCATGGCGTGAATAAAATAGTTCAGTTACACTTAAATAGGTCTGTTACATCCTCCCCCTCTGACTTCGTAGACGTCTCGGCAAGAAGTCAGGAACTGACATTTGTCTACTTTGTGCAGCGGGCGGAGAAATCAGATGAATGGGCTCCAGTTTGACGAGCAGTAGATTTTGCGTCACCAGCACCTTGTGCAACAGGTGCAGATTCGGGTGGTATTACATGTTTCGGGCGTCCTCTTTTCCTTAAGGGAACCACTGGAATTACACGAGCTGAGTTTTTCTTATTTCGATCTTGATATGGTTTCAAGGCTGAAACATGATACTTGCCGAGAATTTTGTCTGGTTCATGAGGATCGGCAATATCATAAGTGGTTGGAGATCTTGTAGTCACTATCACATAAGGACCATCTCTCTTCGGCATGAATTTAGCAGTTTTCTTCAGTGGACCTTTGCTGATTGGGTGGAGGGTGACCCAAACTTTATCTCCAGGAACGAATTTCGGTGTTTCTCTTTCGTTTTTTGTCAGCATATCGTTTCTTGCTTATCTTGATGCATTTCGACTCTTTCTCGTACCTGTTGTACATTTCTTGCAAAACGTTTCAAATATGGAATAATTTCGGGGAACAAAATTATCGTTCTCAATTACGGCTTTTATTTTATATCAGCTTAGTTAGCTTTACATCATCTAAGGTTCGTAACTCTCGTGCAAATTGAAGAAAAGCAGCAGTATGTCCAGTTGAATCACATTTGGCTGTATTCAAAACAAACCTTATTAATGGCAGTTTATCCTTCCATGACTGATGGTCATTACCAACAAGTATTGCTAAACGTGGTTTCAGATCTCTATTCTTCCTTTCAACTGGGTTAGATTGTGGGTGATAGACAGGAGTAAGACTTTGATCAATGTTCAAGATATAGCATAGTTGTTGCATAACAGCACTAGTAAACTGGGTACCATTATCACTTATTATTTTGGGTAACCCAAATCGAAGGGCGACTTCCTCCAAAAGAATAGTGGCACATTCTCTGGCCGTGGCTTCCTTTAAAGCAAATAGTTCTGTCCACTTCGTAGCACAGTCCTGCACAATCAAAATCCATTTTTCACCAGACGGTGTTTCAGGAAGGGGACCAAAAAGATCAATTGACAAGGTCTCAAAACGTTGAGCATAGACTAGAGTTTGAAGTAAACCAGATGGCTTTTGATTAGTGGCTTTATAACGACAGCATTCGAGACAGCTTTTGACATATTCTGCTATATCCTTTCTCATTCCAACCCAGTAGTATCTTTTTGCTATTCGATAAAATGTTCCTTCAGATCCATAGTGACCGGCCGTTGGCGAATCATGATATTCTTTCAAGATTTCTGCTTTTCTTTTTTGAGGTATAACTAGTTGAGCTTCTTCCTCTTCTGAATCAGGGGAATATCGGTACAAAACTCCTCTGTTCATAACGTAGCCTCTTCCAGTCCAAGTTGCACAGTCTGCTTCTTTCTCTGGACTCTCAAAAGTTTCGATGATCTTCCGAAGATCATCATCTTCTAGCTGTGATTGTCTTAATTCTGCAGGGCTAATAATAGGGATTTCGACAGAGACAGCACATACTTGACAAGAATCTGTACTTGAGTGTTCACAAATAGGACGAGACAATAGATCAGCAATAAAGTTCAATCATCCAGGAATGTAATTGATAGTCAGATTGTAGGATTGGATTTGTAAGGCCCATCTTGCGAGAGCCTACCAGTTGGTGACTTTAAAGAACATCAGCCATTTCAATGGTTGGTGGTCAGAGGTGATTGTGATAGACTGGCTTTCAACATATCCTCTAAATTTGTTGAGTGCCCATACTACTGCTAAGGCTTCTTTTTCTATGGTGGAATAGTTTCGTTCTGATGCAGTCAGCAAGCGGCTGGCATATTCTATAGGGTGGTTCTTCATTTTTCTCCCCCTTGTAGCAACACTGCTCCAATGGCTACATTGCTAGCATCTGTGCGAATGATAAAAGGCTTCGTTCCATCAGCTTGCTTAAGAATCGGTGGGCTAATTAATTTGGATTTCAGCTCTTGGAAAGCATTTTCTTGTTGTGCTTCCCACTTCCACAGCGCTTTCTCTTCTTTGTTAAATCCGTTAACGGTTTGGCTATTTGAGAAAAATTTGGAATATATCGACGATACCAGGAACACGTTTGTACGAACGATTGTACTTGCTTAACAGTTTTCGGCGATGGCATGTCTGCAATGGCAGCAGTCTTGTGTGGAATCAACAGCTATACCATGCTTAGGTAATGTAATTTGTACCTAAATATTTCACTTTTTCACAACAGAAGTGGCACTTCTCACGATTAGCATTGAGCTTGAATAACGATAGACGTTGGAAAACTTGTTCTAAGTCAGAAAGGGTGCTTTTCGAAGCTAGATGACAGCACGATGATATCATCTAAATATGCCAAAGCAAACACATTATTAAGTCCAGATCGAACGGAACCTATCTATCAATCTAGAAAAAAGTGGCAGGAGCGCTTTCTCAATCCGAAGGGCCATTCGGGTAAATTTATATGTACCAAAAAGGCCAAACAAAAGCAGTCTTATTTTGATCTTCTTCAGCTACTCTCACCTGATGATAACCGGATCTCAAATCAATAGTTGACATATAAGGTGTCGGTTTTGCTTCACTCAACAAATCATCTATACGTAGCAAAGGATAAGTGTCTGGAACTGGTTTGAAGCATTTAGGTTACGATAATCAATGCATAACCGTACTTTTCCATGTTGCCTTGGGAATCAGAACCACAGGAGAGGCATAGGGGCTTTCACATTCTTTTATGATACCTTGTTTTAGAAGGGAATCAAGTTCCTTTTTCAACAGTTCTTTCTTACTTGGGCTCAATCCGATATGGAGGGACTGAAA